TGAATGGGTAATGAAAGAAACTTTATTAGAAATGTACAACGTTTTGACAAGCTTATATTATCATCAGGTAGAGTATGTATATATATATATATTATTGTGACTATGTAAACTACCTGTACCTGATGATGACATAAGCTTGACGAAACGTTGTACATTTCTAATAAAGTTTCTTTCATTACCCATTCAAGCCGTCTCCAAACTTTATTTTCTGAAAAGTTGGTTCATCGTCATCAAATTTGAAAATCAACAAAACGTGTTTCCATCCTTCTTAACTCAGGATTTTTGCAGTTTAAGACATTCTCTCTGGACTAGTGGAACCAAATACATTGTATGTGGGAAAAGAAAATCGATATTGGATTTCTTAAAACGTTCTACGTTGTTGGGAACGGATTTGTTTAAAACATATAAACGTAGAAACATTGGTTTATTACAGTTCATGATGTTAACATTGGAATTCTCATCACAGAACCGCTGGTTTCCTACAGTTTACAGTTTTCAAGTTGGAATCCTCATCACAAAAACGCTGGCGTCCTACAGTTTACAATGTTGACATCGGAATTATAATCACAGAAACATTGGTTTCTTACAGCTCACATTGCTAGCATTGGAATTTCAATCACAAAAAGACTAATTTCTTAACGTTTACAGTGTTAACATTGGAAATCTCATTCAAAAACACTGGTTTCCTAAACTTTACAGTGTTAACAATGGAATTTTCATTACAGAAACACTTTTTTCTGTAGTTTGGAGTTTATAGTTATCAAGAAAAATAATCATTAAAGAGTTATTCAACGACAAAATCTGTGGATTATGACATAAAAAGTTACTTGAGTCTAGGAAAAATTAAACCATTTAGCATAAATATAGACAGAATAATTAATTTAAAAGGAATTTAAAATGACCTTGCACGAATTCGTGGAATATTAAATTCCTAAGGAATATATTAGCAGACATATATATATATATATATATATGAAATTACAGTATTGAAACGAATACTCGAACATTCAGAAAATTTACACAAAATTACTACAGTTCAGAAAGAAGGAAAAAAATCTAGCAAGAAGCTTTACAGGAAAATGAATATGGAAGCACGTTGTGTGGATATTTGAAGTTATTGCAATCAAACTTTCAATCTTATTGAGCAGTTGGTTGTTTTACTGGTGGCCACTGATATCTGTTAAGATAAATTGTTATTATTTTTCAATCGTTTGTTTGTGTAGCAATATTTATTTTCGAAGTTTGGAGTTCATTTGTGTTTGTTTTTAAGCACAGCTTTGTGTTAAAATATACATAGTTCAATGGAGTTTCTTTAACCGAGTAATTTAACATTTAACAGGACAACACCCTCAACATTCGGTACTCTGGAGATGAACAAGTACAAAATGTTAATGAGATTTTCCTTAGACAACCTGGACATAGTAAAAAGTGAGTATATTTATCAACAAGAGATTCATGCTACGTAGAGATCCATTTATGTTATGAAATTAATTTATATACCAATAATTATGAAACGTAATGTTTAACAAGTTATCTTTATTTGAGATTTGTGTTGTCATGGTATTAGCTTGAATATTGCTACTCAATGTATTTGCCTTTTCTTTTGAAAAATCATTTTTAAGTGTAGTTCAGTTCGATTCTCTTTAGGTCTAACACCATACTTGACTGTATATAATAACAGATAGATAGAAAGGTAGACACACATCAATATCGATAAAGACAAACCAGTCTACAACAATCCTTGCTGCGTGGATTGTTACATCGAAAGACTTCATTACCAGTAGAATAAAACTGCTGCTTCATATGATGAACCAAATTTCTTATGATGGTCTTGTGCAAAGATTAAACCAATTAAATAACGGACACCCCTTAATCATAATGATACCGCTTACTTTCTTACACTTGGAACGAAACACTCCTGGGTATAAGCTCGTCCATTTTGATAGAAAAAATTTTATTGACTAATCGTGCCAGGTCATCTTTCACTACTGTTCTTAAGTGCACACTTTATGCCTAATGCAAGCGCGAACTTGTGTTTAACAGAAAGAGTGGTTTGTGTATGTTTCACAGAATAAGGAGTGGCTTGTGTACGTTTCAAAGATTAAAGAGTGGTTTTGTGTGTTTCACACAATAAAGAGTAGCTTGTGTATGTTTCACAGAATATATAGCGGCTGGTATGAGTTTCACAGAGTAAAGAGTGGCTTCAGAGAATAAAGAATAGCTTGTGTGTGTTTCACAGAATAAAGAGTAGCTTGTGTGTGTTTCATAGAATAAAGAGTGGCTTGTGTGTGTTTCACAGAATAAAGAGTGATTTGTGTGTGTGTTTCAGAGAATAAAGAATAGCTTGTGTGTGTTTCACAGAATAAAGAGTGGTTTGTGTGTGTTTCACAGAATAAAGAGTGGTTTGTGTGTGTTTCACAGAATAAAGAGTGTTTTGTGTGTGTTTCACAGAATAAAGAGTAGCTTGTGTGTGTGTTTCACAGAATAAAGAATAGCTTGTGTGTGTTTCACAGAATAAAGAGTGGCAGCTCTACCATAGTATCCCAGATGATTGAGCTCATGTCGTATGTTTTTTCTCGTGTTTAAGGCACGAGCACTTGAGTAATTTTGTTGCTGCTTTCTCCCTGTTTCGTTTAACATTGTAACTGGATGTATAGCGATCCCGTCACACACGATGGTTTTTCTTCCACTGTTGCCCTGTGCACTTGAGGATTTATCGCAAGCTTATGATGTTATCACCTTATAAGAAACCGTCGTTCTTAACACACCAGAAATCTGTTTTTCGGTCATGTTAGATCCTTCTTGGAAGTCATGAATTGAAGCATAGCAGGACTAGCAGTAGACATATATATATATACGCACACACGAATCCATCTACGTCAGACTCCCGGGAACGAGATTTCATGGTCAATGTTAAGAGTTGAACTTTTAAACTAATTGTTTCAAACGGCTATTGAGAGTAGCAGGTTTTTTTTTATTCTATTATCCAAACACTCTTCATCTCAGTATATATATATATATTTATAACCTTCCTATTTCTTCAACAATTGCTTCGGTTTATGGTTTTTAGAGAAGCAGTAAATATCTAAACTAATCTAAATCTGATGTCAGTCTGTTCTTATCCTCTTTTTGACAGACAGATGTTTATTATAACATTAGTCAATTGATTATTGAATCGATGTGAATAACGTTTTATATAAGTGGTTACAATTTCAAGATGTAAGAGACATATAAACTATATTTGTATTCTCTGTCTACTAATAACACTAACATTATTTATTAGCAGGATTTAAAAGCACGTGTACTTTAGCATAGCTCACATATTTTAAATGCAGTTAAAGTGAATAATGATTCCGTACTAATATCACGACATGAATACTTTGAATAACATAAGACGAAGAAATTATGTCGTTCATGCTTAAATCTGTATTTGCAGTGTTGTTCGAATGTAGTCCTTAAGATTTTACGTGAACAAGTTACCCTTGGGAGGGGGGGGGCGATATATACTGATGCTTGAACGTGATATGATGTTGGTCACTTAAGACACCCACTGCGTAATTTAGCGGCAACTGTTACCCTTGGGGGAGATATATATTGGTGCTTGAACATGATATGATGTTGGTCACTTAAGACAACCGCTGCGTAATATAGCGGCAACTGTTACCCTTGGGGGGGATATATATTGGTGCTTGAACGTGATCTGATGTTGGTCACATAAGACAACCGCTGCGTAATTTAGCGGCAACTGTAAAAAATCGAATTCTATCTAGGAATGCCCATAGACCAATCATCTTCGACCCCTTTTAAGCCCTCGTAAAAGTGATTCATATATAGGAATAAGTCATAATTCATAAACAATTTATTTTCAGTAGTAGTATTTTTACTTTTATAAGTTTATTTAAAGAGCAGATGATAACGTGTTAAAGTCATGTTAAATTCACCTTTCTCAATATGCACAAACATATAAGTGATGTCTGGAGTTGCTTGAAACACGATTCTTTAGATTCTGTGCGTTTGTTTATTGTCAAGCACAAAACTACACAGTGTACTATCTGTGCTTTGTCCACCGCTGTTATCTAAACCCGGTTTTTTAGCGTTATAAGTCCTCAGACTTACCGCTGAGCCAGCGAGAGAGGGCGATCTTTAGACAAATTTAGCAATAATATAAGCCCTTTATCTGGCTAATCTAGGGTGACTTATTACCATCCAGAAAGAAAATTCCAATCTCCTAGCTCCACACCGGAAACCAATCTTGAATGGATTAGACAAGTAGCGTAGATAAATTAATTAATTATTGGTGACTTGTTTACGAGAAAGAACCACTTGTGTTTTTTTCTCAGATTTGTATTTGAAATTTATTTAAAGTGGTGCTTAAAAATATATTTTAAAAATGAACAGTTACCAATTTTTTTTTGTAGACTTTTACGTCCACTAGTTGAAATTAATTAGGACTTTATTTTGCCCAAGTAAGTATGTGCGTAAAATAGAGTGTGGGAGTTCTTGTATGGAAGGTGCCTTGTGGGTGATTATTTTCTGTTTATATTCAAGCCATCTAGTAGAAGATGATTATGACATTATTTTGCCCAAGTAAGTATGTGCATGAAATAGTGTGGAGCTCTTGTGTGGAAGGTGCCTTTTGTGTGTATGTGTTTTTTTTGTATTCAAGTTTTGTCACACCATCTCATAATAAGTTGGAAATGTTGTAAAATGATGATAATTTGTAAACCTTTACTCAATTTTAATAGCGCGGTTAGAGATATCTGGGAAGTCAAATAAAGTTGTAATGACCCGCTTCAGTCTTTTGATTATTGTACTTTTCTACTTTGACGGATTATTTCTCTACTAATCAATTTTCGTTAAGATAACTTTTTTTGTACAGCTAACCCCAACAGGCTTATCTGTTGGGTCATTAGCAAATTAGTTGCCACTGGCGTCCATTAAGATGTATGAATCAGGTGATAAGACACGTGACACGGCCTTCGAAACCATTATATTACCTATGGTGTCAGAAAAACTCGATTAAGTCGACAGCACCACTCCAAAAACTGTCAGATTAACTGTGGAAGCATGTGGAGAAAAAGAGGTTTACAAAACTGAAAAATGTGACGTGAATGTGATATCTTTTTCTATAGACCTTGGAAGTAACTTGTTCAAATGAGATTTGGAAAATTTACGAGGTAGTAACTCGCTATAATGAGATTTGGAAAATTTACGAATGGTCTGAGGCTATTGCGGATTGCAGCCGATATCTCAATTTTACTCTTATTCCAAAAATAAGACTTTGTATATTCTACATATTGAACATATTTATTAACTCCGTAGTTAAGAATTATGAATTATGCTAACAACCAAACAATTGTATTTATTTATTGAAAAAAAAATTATAATACATAACAGGTCTCAAGGCTGTAGGTTGAAGTGGTAATGATTTTTTTTTTTTTTACTTAGAGTTGATATAGGACAAAAACCGGTCATCATACGAAAGAAATAGAACTATATGTGTTAATAGAGATAACACTATCCAGATAACACAAAGTTATGAGAATGGAGTAGATAAGTTAAAAGAGGCCTATTTAAACGTGGATAATGATAAAAAAAAATCTATACAGTACACGTATGAAGCATTAGAGTCCTAATAATTACTTTTATGCCACCCCGTATTTGCGTCAAGAATTTATTAATTAAAACAGCGTTTTCCAATGTGTGGTGCGCGCTTCTCCAAGGGGGCGCAAATTATCTTTTTTTTAGGGGGGCAAAGAAATTAGGGTAGAGTCAATAGAACAATAATGCAAAATTAAGCGTTTTATTATTTTTTTTGGTTAATGAAAATAATAAGTAATCACTACAACACATATAACATTTTAACACGTATCTGTGTGTTATATCTCGTCAGTTAACTCACTCTTTCACTCAGTTAAAAAAAAAGAGAGGGGGTACGCAAGAAAAAAAAGTTTAACGTAACTTTATAAAATTTTAGTAATTTATTCCTTTCAACTTGTTCGTCAGATGTTAGCCAACATTTTCATTAACCTCCAAGCCAGATGTATTACAAGTATAACTATTTTTTCTTTTTACAAAAATATGTACTTGTCATGTTCATAGCAGAACATCAGTGTATCAGCTGATTGCTTTCATCAAATAGTCTGGAAACTTAAAATGTAGGGCAAACTCCTGGTATCTTGACTGAGAATGTTCATAAATAGTAACATGTTTACTTGGCATTTGTTTCATTCCATAAATAAGCTAAATACTTCAGTAATCATAGACGGACAGACTAAAATATTTATTTCCTCAAAATATATATAGGATCATATTTACGCTGAAATTATGTTAATGACTTATATGTATGTATATAAGTAAATAAAACAGGCCTAATACTATAAATTACATCAACTGTATATAAGCAATGAAATCAGCACTACGTAAAAATGATGGAGATTTGTATATAAACCGAAATTCAAAACTAAAGTCGTTACTCATGATCAATTTCATCGATATATACTTTAGAATATAGCTTGAAAAACTAACTAAATTAAAAAACCATACCATTCGTTGGTACGTTCTGGTTTAACGCACCGAATAACTAACCCCTAACTCGTTTTCCGTAACAGTTATCTCGTTATTCATTTGCGTTTTTGGATTATGTCTGACAGGCGGAATATCCTAAAGTTTTCGGGTGTATTACAACAGATATTGTCTTCTGAAAACTATACTTTTTTTTTGTATCTCATTGACAAATGGTATGGTTTTTAATTTAGGGTTTTATATATATATTGTTAATAATTCATAAGCCCCCCAGTGGCACGACGGTATTTCTGCGGACTTCAACGCTAGAAGCCGGGTTTTGATACCCGTGGTGGGCAGAGCATTGGTGGGCCCATTGTGTAGCTTTGTGTTTAACTTCAAATAAACAAAACAAACAAATAATTCATAAAATTTTGATAAGTTTACATAGAAGAAATTTGTTATAAGTAATGGTTTTAGTTTTGAATTTCATCTCGATTTTAGTTTATATATATATATCATACATACAGAGTAAAAAAAAAAATCCAGTTTTTTCTTCACTGAAAACGTGCTAATGACTAATACATAGTATCATACTTGAGCCAGTTAGTAGAACAATACATATTTATGACGAAAGGTTAAACCCTCCAGTGGCTTAGCGGTTATTCTGAAGGCTTATAACAATAAAAACCTGGTTTTGATACAGATACCCCATTGTGTAGCTTTGCGTTTAACAACAAACAAACGAGAGGGTAATAACCTCACTATTATTGACGATTTTCCTACCATAGATGAACTCCATTAAGGACAAGCTTGCTATGAAAGGGGTAATAACCTCACTATTATTGACGATTTTCCTACCATAGATGAACTCCATTAAGGTACAAGCTTGCTTTGAAAGGGGTAATAACCTCACTATTATTGACGATTTTCCTACCATAGATGAACTCCATTAAGATACAAGCTTGCTTTGAAAGGGGTAATAACCTCACTATTATTGACGATTTTCCTACCATAGATGAACTCCATTAAGGA